AACATCTCATTGGTAAAATTTATTCAAAATCCGTATTTTTTTGTGTAATCCGTATATTTTATGTAAACTATGTAATCCGTATACATTTTATACATAAACTATTCAAACCATACTTTAGTTAACTGATCGTAACTATAGTTATTTGTTAACCTATACATCAGGAAGTACATTTTCGTATAACATCTACATAGATCTACAACTTTATATAATTATTATATAAAATGTATATGAAAATTATATGCGCTAATTTTTATGTATTTTTTAAATAAAATTTATATAAAAATTTATTTAAATTTATATGAATAAAATTTTATATAAAAAATTTATTTAAATTTATATATTTATAAAATTTACATATTATAATTACATAACTTTTATATATTGTAAAATTTAGATTAAAAATTTAGATAAATGTTATATATTATAAATTTTACATACAATAATTACATAACTTTTATATACTTGTAAAATTTAAATAAAATTTTTATATAAGTTTTACATATTAATAAATTTTATATAAAATCTATATATATAAATTATATATAACTATATAAACTATATAGCTATTGATTAAATATGTAAGTATTAACGTAATATGAATTCATCGTATCGAATTGTGGAACAATATGAACCACATTATTAATCGACTTTATCGGAATCATATTGTAAATATTCGTGAATTGCAAGTAAGGGCATCCATATCTATAAAATTTTGAAGCGGCATTCGGATATTTAAAATCGTACCAACGGATAAGCGCAAGGTCGAATGTTGAAGCATCTTCTAACATGATACGAACCAATAATAAAACCTATAAAATATTATAAATTGAATTAAATAATATAAAAAGAATACTGTATATTTTAGATACTGTATATACCTTTGCGAAGCAGTATCCATCATATGTTTCGAATTCTTGTTCTGAGTCCATAAAAACAGCAACATCACTAAACATAGGTGCATTATAATAATCTTTTGTAGCTCTTACTTGCTCTTTATTAGATAATGTAAAGGATTCATATAAAATTAACATTGCTTCCATTTTTTCTATATCTTTTCCAATCATAGAAGGCAAAAGTTTAAAATAGTCACTCATCGCAGAAGCAAGATGATGTAAACCCTCAAGAATTTCAGAAATGCTTCCTTCGTCACGTTCATACGATTCAACAAGTGACTTTAGAAGGTGTAAAGGCATAGCACAATATTTTTTTCCAAATTTTCCTAGGTCTTTTTTAATTTTTGATCGGTAGTTTTCTGAAATAATGTGTTTATAAATGTCTCTAATCGTAATTGTTCGTATTACCTGACAGGCATTAAATTAGCTTGTAAGTATAAATTAATAGTTAAATAGCAGTACGAATTAAATGAATAAACCTTTTGTAAAATCTGGTTATTAATGTTACGTTTGTTGGACATTCTGTAAGGAATTTTAATATATTCCTTATGAAGCGCTTCATATGTTTCGGCGCTTAATCCATTTAAGTTCCCATACTCTTCAATTGTTTCAATTGTATGATGTATCCAATGGTGAAATTTTAGAAACCGACAATCATTTTTTGTAAATGGTCCAAGAATGTCTATAAAATTTTTTGCCCATGTTCGAATCGAAATCTATTAAAAAAATAATAAATAAATAAATAAATAAAAAACTAACTAGCACTATTAATATCACTAGTATTAGGGATGTAAACCAAATCGAATATAGTAGATTCAACAATTGTATCGTAGCTGTATTGTAATCCAGATCAGTGTTCTCATGAGAACATATCTTTAGATTTGAGAACATTTGATATTGTGTAAATGTTCTCTATGAAAAAAATTTTGAGAATATAATACTCGAAAATATGTCCTCTATATAAGTATAAATAAGTATAATAGCATAATAAGAATCGAGAAAATTCAAAATTATCTAAAAAAAAATAAATAAACATAATGACGAGAAGGGTTGGACAAAAATTAAAATAAATGTTCGATATTTTCGAAAATAAGAAATTCAAAAAATAGGAATACGGTATGAATAAATTTTACCAATGAGATGTTGAGAATATAAATAAATTTCCGAGATCATTAAATTAAATAAATATGTTCTCATGAGAAAATAAATCTCAAAACAGATTTCCATCACTGATCCAGATTATGCGTCGTCGACTAGAGCGCGAATGGTAAAATAAATATGTTATTATTGTTTAGTGCTGCAGGGGAATTATTTCTACAATTTTAAAAATAATTCCTCTGTTCTATCACCTGTGTCATCCCGCACTATGTTTGTTTCGTAGAATTTATTGATCCTTTAGATTTAGGATATGCAAAAAGAAATAGGCACAGGTTTGGGTTTCAAATCGAGTTTGGAACATCAATAAGTGTCAACTCCCAAACCCAAATTAAGTAAAAACCTCATTGTGTTTGATTTACATTGCTAACTAGTATGGATCTGATTGTTTAACAACTGTAATAAAAAATATTTATTATATAAATAAAATTATACTAACCTCAAACTGAACAAGATCAGTCTGAGTAAATTTGCTTTGTTTTGAATAAAAATATATTTTATTCCAATTGACAAACATTTGAATGAGCAATTCATTTTCTTTTCTTTCAAAAAGACCTTCGAGAACAAAAGGCATAACTTTCATCATGTGCCTGTATTCTGATGCCGTAAACAATGCAAGATCAGCAAGTCCAGTGCTGAATATCTTTAGCTCTGGATGACGTGGTATCAATCCGAGCCTTTGATCCATTTTATTAACAAGTGTATTTCTACCATAAACTTTCAAAAGATCACGTGTAAATCTGACCATATATGAAAAGAGCCCAAGGTCCAGATGGTGTATTCGTTCAGGAACCGTAGCCGTATAAATATTAAAGTTTCTACATAGTAGTAGGAGATAAAGTATATGTTTAAACAAATTTTTTAGTACTATTATTTAAATTGTAAATAACAAATCACTTACGGATGATTCCAAAAACTATTGGTTTCTTCATGTAATGAGTGGTCTTTGCCTTGTCCCACTTCAATGGCTTGTCTCATTTGGATTTCTGTTCTAGTAATCTTGCGATTAGCGGGTAAGTTAATAACATTTAAATCATCTTTTTCTACAAGACAGGTGTGGCAAGGACGAGCGCAACTAGTTCCACTATAAGTTAAGCATGATTTGCAGTTTTCAGGCCAATCCACGATAATAGAGGCTAACATCATATTACATCTCAAATTATAATTGTTAACCTTTAATGATACTCCAGAATGATACTGTGAACGTAATGGCTCAATCAATATATTAATACATTTGTGAAAAATTAATCGAATTAATTGCCTGAACTGTGATGTTTGCCGTTCTTCCTTTGTTCCTTGCAATGTTGGTATGATACCAACAAGTGCCTTAGCTTCAGCTTTATTTCGAAGAGTTGTTGGAATATTACCCAAACTTATAAATATCGGATGCCGTGAACTCTTCCCTAAACAGTCTAGTGTAGTTGCATCAGAGTATAGTATTATAGATAATACCTTATTTCCAGGCGGAATATGTTGTTGTGCACGACTCCACCATTTAGAATTATAAAATTCAGAGAATAGTCTTTTTTGGTGCCCCTATAAAGTAGAATTATTAATATATAAGCCTATTTATATGAAGACCAGATTGTAAAATTAATGCATTTTTAATTTATATTTATATCTACGTACGTTTCACCCCGATTTCAAATATATTTATAAGATTGTATAATAATAACTAAGTTATTGTTTTTTTTTAAGAACTGTGTTGATATTTTTATTGGTTAACCATAGTTAAATCGAAATCAGGAGAGATGCACACGTAAACATAAATTTAAAATACATTACAGTAATATTATAGCTACGTATAATATGTATAAGAATTTTACTTACTTCAACTAACGTGTAAACTTCCTGATAATCAAAAATACAACTTTTAGTAATTTCTTGATGTTGAAGAATCTCTTTGACCGCAGAAATAATTGGCCTATATTCAAATGAATACGTTTGGTCTTTAATTTGCGCAACAGGAGTTGAATGAAACTTCGTATGATCCTTCCTCAATGTGTCCAAGAAAAGAAGGCCATCTTTTGTTGATCGTAGCAGAATTTTTTTTGAAATTTGACCATGTCTTTTCATAAACTTTAATACAGCGTCACCAGCCGTATAAGAAAGATTATATCTAATTACCTAAAATTAAAAAAAAAAAGCATTATTTAAAAACCAAAGACTTCGATTAAATTAGCAAATATGATAATTACTATGTCTATGAAATCTCGGTATGCAGTACTTGGAAAATCTGTATTGTCTATTTCACTTTCGCTAACATCACTCTGAAATTCAGCTTCGTTAATAATCTTGCTATTTTCTAATATGTCCCCCCGGTTATTAAATATTAGATTCGATTTATCAGCAATACTTAGAGTATCAAATGTCAGGTTATATTCATCAGCACTTTCTTGATCGTCAAATGTCAGTTCATTATTTTGTCTATTTATAGCATCTAATTCATCAGAATTATACATATCCGTACTATTGTCCATTTCACCCTCTACGTGATAGTCCAATTCGTCAGAATTATATGTATCCATACTGTTGTCAATTTCACCTTTGACAGAATAGCTATTTTGTCTGTTTATAATGTCTAATTCGCCAGAATTATAAGTATCCATACTATTGTCAGGTTTACTTTCAACATTATAATTATTTCTTCTACTTATAATATCTAATTCGTTAGAGTCGTCAGTTTCATCAACTTTATACCAGTTTTTATGAACCTTTTTATGATTTTTAAGGCTCGTTAGATGGCCAAAAGTTTCACTACACACGCTACAAGTGAACATAAAATGCCTAAGAAAAAAAGATAGGTTTAAAATTAAATCATAAATATTGATTTTATATTCTAACTAAATAGCAACTTACTGCAATATAAGTTAAGATCTATTTTGAGAATGCAGCTTACTTTTGGTTTTTTGCTTTATTACAAAACAAACATTAATTATTTTTTGAATTTTTTCGCTTTTATAAGATATTTTAACTTTTAATTACATGATCGATTTTATGCATCTTACTTAATTTAATGACATAATTAGATTTAAATATTCAAGAAAGTATATAATAAGAGGACAATAGTAACTGATTAAGTCATACTGATAGACCGAATATTCTGGTATATTACACAAATCAGTCTCTGAGTTATTTTATATAAATATCTTAAAAGTAATTACGTACTAACTGTTCTTTACTACGTATCTTTGTCATTTTATATTTATATATTGTTAGTGTCTTCAAGTCGTAAGGAAATTCGATCCCTAAATATAGTTTTTTTTTTTTTATTCTCTTTGCAATACTTTTTCAATGCCATTGTAGCTATTGTAAGCTCGTACAACAAATCTAACAACGATGGTTAACAAAAGTAATTTTAAAGTAATTATATAGATAGTTACGAACTTATTCTATTTGTTTTTTTTTTTTACTTCTTTAGAGGTTACTAATTTTTGCGTTGGTTAATAGTTCTAATAGTCCACAATCAACAGTCGATCCGATTTTGAAACCACAGTTGATGTGACTTGCCAATATTGAATACGTACTGTAATACAAAAATTTATATACGTATCGGTATACAATGGAAATTCTCTATACGTATTAAGTATAACGTCGTCCAATTATATATTTTTACGAAAAAATATAACCTTATATAGAAATAACTCAATTAATGACAAGTATTTTTCTTGATTTTCACCTTTACGTAGTAACTTGTGCATTGTTTTTATATATTGCGTAATCTTACGTATATACATAATTAATATTTAAATTCTTAAAATTATAATTATTTTCTTAGATCTTAAAAATTTAAAAAACACATTATTATTATTATTATGCCTCTTAAAGGTCGAAAACGAAAATTAGATCCTTAACAAAACGAAGTTGCTTTGGTAATTATCAATTATTGAACTTTAAATAATTAAAAAAATAAACTTTAAACGCTTATTTTATATTATTATTATTATTATTATTATTTATTAGGCATTGGATGCCTTAAGGTCTAATCCATCTCTTTCTAGTATAAAAAAGCCACGAAATGTAAATGAAGCTACTACTCAGTCTCTTAAAAACACAAAGAAAGTATCTATAACCCAAAATAATATCAACTCTATTGACGTTGATAATATTGATGACAATATTCAAAACTCTTCTCATGAAATTAATGAAAGTCCGCCTCGACTTCCACTCAGTGAATCTTTTACTAACACACTAGAAATTTGACAGTTGGCGATGAAAACGGTCAGTTTTAAAAATGTATCTAATTTATGAGATTTTAGATCACTGACTTTGTATTGAAATATGTAGTATCGAATAAAGAAAGTAAAACAATTAAATTGATACTAGAAACGGCCAAACAAGTATTGACGCAAAATGATTCGATTATGGAAAAGCAAGAATCTTTGGAAACTTTGATTACTCAGTTAGTTAATGACGTCAAAACTTTACAATCTTCACATGAAGATTTCAAGTCAAATATGAAAGATCACGGTCACGAATGATGGCAGGTATATATTGATATTATTTTTCAATTTGAATTATTAGATACGAATATTTTGTGTTGCAATGTGTTTTTATTAAGATCTTAGTAATTATAGAACAAGTTTTTTTGCTACTGTCTTAGCTAACCAGAGTCTTGATAAACGGCATTATCGAATTTTTGAAATTAATATTATTTTATTTATTTACTAAACTTAGAAAGGAGCGGTACAAGGTATTAAGAATGTGATAAATAATTGGCTTTACCCCAACGATAAAATCTACGAACAAGCTATTTGAAAAGAACTTGAAGCCCTTTGCCCTGATAAAATGAGCCGGTATAAGAAAGATTCAAAATGGGATGCATTATTTACTAAAATAGAAAATTCAGTAAGTAGTTGATTCATTATATAATTTTTTTTTTTATTTTGATTCATTTAATCTAAATTTTAAATATAGATTAGCACTGAATCCTGCAAATACCACGGGGCACTATTTGGATCTTTTCGATGTGCTATATTTGATCACGTTTTTAAAAAGGAAGTCTCTCCAACTGTTAATTCGGAAAGTTCAGAATCTGAAATAATTTCTTGGAAGGCGAGTGAAGAGGTTCAATGGTGCTTCAAAAATTTGGATAGTATGATTGAAGAAGATGACAAGACATATCTTCAGATGGTTGCCAAGAAAGTATTTGGTCGGCTACCAACAAAAAATCAATATGCAGTAACACGAGCCATGTTACATAACTTGTTTGATCCCAAAATCGTTAAGATTAAATTCGATGAAAGGTATCTTACACGAAAATTGCATTCTTTTTTGGTAAGTATATGCTTGATATTAGCATTAGCATCTTGTTTTAATGGTATTATGCGTTTACTTATTGGTAATATTATTGGCATGTTTCGTAATTTATAGCAAAATCAGAATGCAGAGAATCAAGAGAATAGCGAATCAAGTTCATCCGATAACGAATGAACGTTATGCTGTTATATAATTGAGCTTCATATAATCTTTGCATTAATTCTGTGCAGGAGTAACATTTTAAAGAAATATTATTTAAATTTCTATGCAATTGCACTTTATATAAATTGATTTTATTAAATTTAAATAAAATTTAATTATATTTTTATGCAACTATATGTAATTTTTAATAACTATTAAATTGAATAAATATGCATTAAATAAAAATTATCTACAATTTTACATAATTGATGTGAATTTAGTTTTTAAATTTTAAATAAATATTAAATAAATGTTATTTATAATTTTTATACAATTTATAAATAAATTTTATATAATCGCTATATTCGTTAAAATTTACGTAACTATTAAATAAATATTATTTATGATTTTATACAATTTTATAAATGAAATTTATATAATCGCTATATTCATTAAAATTTACGTAACTATTAAATAAATATTATTTATAATTGTATATAGTTATATAAATAAGTTTTATATAATCGTTATATTTGCTAAATATTAGATAACTATTAAATAAATATCATTTATAATTATATTTATGTATAAATTATAACTATGTAAGTCTACATTGGGTTTGTAGATCTATGTAGAATTTTTAAATAAAATATACGTAAAATATCTACATAACTCTACATAAAAACAACTTTGTGATGTAGTTAACCGATCGTAATTATAGTTATTTGTTAAACCTATAGTTAACTGTAGTTAACTGTTCAAACTATCGTTTTAACTATCAATTAAACTTCAAAGAGACATTTGTTAATCTAAAGTATTCAAAATAAACTATTCAGTTCCGTGAACATTTAATGTCTAATTTCATTTTAGATTGTTCACCTTCAAAGCTTGATTAAATTACAAGTAGAAATTACACAACATATAAGATCATCATGTAAAAGTACGCTCAATAAAAAGCAATAATTATCTATCTTGAAATTATCCTAAAGCCTTTCTACCTACTTAGGGAATTGGTGATATTTTCTAATCAAATTGTTATGCGACTTAGTCAAATTTTTCACCAAAAAGGCACTAGAAAGGTAACACTTTATAGCTTTTCTTCAATTAATTTGCTTGACATTTTTCCTGTTGGTTATTAAATGTTTATGTTGATTCTTTACATTGCACGCTGTTCCTGGTATGACTTATTTGAACATAGCGATAGTAGTTGGATTTTACTCATTGCACGTGATTGTACTGGTACCCCGCGGCATCACACGTCACACAGCTATCTTTATTAGTAGTTAAATTTTCAGATTTTGGGGTATTTCATAAATTCGCCATAATGAAAGCTATACTGTATATTCACGAACATAACGAATAGGCAATCTTTATAAACGAAATGAATCTAGCAGTAAATTTCACTTTATTTACAATTTTAATCTAAAAAAAAAAAATTGCTACTTGCTAAAAATATGATTAAACATTGAAACAAATTAATGCTTAAAAAATATCTAAATAATTATATTTTAACATGCAAAGGGAAGAAAGAAATGTGCATATATTCTAAATTTATATTTAAAATTTTAAGCCTTTTTCAATTGAAAAAGAAATACAAATATATAAATACCGACTTTTATTTTTTCCATGTGAATAATCATTATTAGATAAATCTTTTCGAAGTTCACACTTCCATTTCAGCTTTAATTTGCAAAAAGTCTTTGATAAATGATCACCAATTTGCTTTTCTGTCTTAGTTAAAATAGTAAAAGCATTCATTTTAAAAGAATTAATTAAAAATGAAGAGTCTTTATTATTATCTACATTAATCTTTCCAGGTCTAATATATACCGAAATTTTGTTTCTAAAATTTTCACAGCAATGAATAATCAATTCTTCAAAAGCCACAATAAGTCGTTTAAAAGTGCTTATAGCACTTTCTAAAGCCAATGAACAAAATGTAGTTGATCTAATAAAAGGAATTTGAAAATAGTCAAGTTCTTCTTCAAGTTGTTTAAAAGTAATTTTTGATGATTTTTCGAATTCAATAGGCCATAAAATTTTTCCAGTTCGATAATATTCCATTATATAGTCAAATATTTCACTATTACGATCAATGAAATATTCATTTCCATTTATTGGATGACTCAAGCATTTATTTCGATCTTGAAACATTACTCCAAGTAGGGTCTCTGGTTGAGCAGTGAGAATTGATCGAAGAGTTTCATACTGTGTATAGAATTAAAGATGTTAATATTTAAATAAGTAAAAACGAACCTAAAGATTTACTATTAATTTTATACCTTTTTGCCTCCAACATTTAAAATAATCTTTTCTTCTAAAATACTATCTAAAGGTGGGTGAGGTGTGATGTATGTTTGTGTAATTTTGAGTTGAAAGAGCTTTTTAATCGAAAAAGTTATAATGATATCAAAAGTAAATGATGGAAGTTTATTATTTCGCACACAGTTCCACTTTAATTCTAATTCGGAAAAAGTTTTAATTAAATGTTCACCAATCAGTTTTTCTATCTTATTTAAGATATTAAAAGCATATTTTTCAAAAGGAAAGTAACGATCATTTGAAAATAATGGTTGAAACCGTTGATTATTTATGGAAATGTTCGACTCTCCAACTTTTAAAATAATTTTCTCAAGGAAATTTTCACAATGAATAATAATTAATTTTTCTAGGAACGAAATGAATCGATCAACCGTATTTGTAGCAACTTCTGAAGCCAATTCCGATTTATTAAAAGGAATTTGAAAATAGTCAAGTTCTTCTTCAAGTTTTTTATAAGATCCATTAGGGCATAAAAGTTTTCCAGTTCGATAGAATTCCAATATATAATAAAACATTTCACCATTACGATCAAAAAAGTATTCATTTTCATTAATCAGATATTTCATATACTCATTTTTATTTTGAAATATTTTTCCGAGCAAAGTTTTCGGCTGAGCAGTGAAAGTTGATCGAAGAGTTTCATACTGTATATTCAAAAGAAAAAAAAATTATATATAAATAAAACCATATAAAGTACTTAAAATTTTATTATTGAACTTTACTACCTTCTTTCCTCCGATATTTAGAATAATCTTTTCTTTTGACATGTTATATTAAGCCTTGATCAAATACAAGGTACGTCTATATTTTTTTAGGATATTGTATATTGTATATTGTATGAAGTACGATTGTTAAAACTTTATATAATTTTTTAAGGATGACTATCTTAACCTATTACGTAATATAGAATCATTAAAAATACAGATATATTGTCGTCACTACAACACTAGTATTAGTTACTGTAATTTTAAAAACCGGTTTGACAAATTTTTTATATTTAGGTAATTAGGTTACGATCTTATTACGTAAATATATTTGTACCTCGAGTTTATCATGTGGAATAAATAGCTCCTTATGTATCACTAATTCTATAATTGACGTCAAAATTAATATTCGAGGCTAAAACTACTATTCAAATTCTGCGCCAAATGACCGCAGTTGAAACATTTTTGATACATAAATATAATACAAATCAAAAATGATACTTTTTTGAATGTCAGGAATTTGAATAGGTAATTTTAG